CTCCTATACAAATGGATAATATGTATGAATCACATTGACATTGAAGGCACTGTAATTTTATGAATAAAAATGCCATCTGTAATGTTTGTAGTGTTGAAGATAGCTCTGAAATATGTATAAATCCATAATTAGTTAAAAGTTGATATGTAATGGTTAGTATGCTGCCTAGCTGGGTTTATTTATATACTTTTAAGCGTGTTATTTCTGACTTAACACCCTAATCAAGACATCCTTCAGCCTGTACCTTTCTCAACTCCGCAGATAACCAGTGTTGTGCTTTTTATCACTATAGATTAGTTCTGCATGTCCTTGAATCATGCAGTATGTAATCGTGTCTGGCTTCTTTTTCTAAAGTACATTTTTGAGATTCACCCATATCGAGTGTATCACTGCTTAGTTTCTTGGTATTGCTAAGTAGTATTCATTCAGTTAGGCATTTAGTTATTTTCTAATTTTTAAACAGACTTGTACAAATTGTTTTCTGGACATACATGTATTTTCATTCATCTCATGTAAATGAATACCTAGGAGTGGAAAATAGGTTGGGTGTATATTTAACTTTGTAACATCGCAAGCAGTTTTCCAAAGAGGTTTATCATTTCACACTCCCACCAGCAATATATGAAAGTTCCAGTTTCTCCACATTCTCCCTAACATTTGGTGTTCTCAGTGTTTTTAATTTTAGTCATTCTGGTGGGTGTAAATGATATCATGGGTTTCATTTGCATTTTCTTAATGACTGGTGATTTTTAACATATTTTCATGTATGTATTTACAATTTGTCGATCATCTTTTCGAAGTGTCCATTTAAGCCTTTTCTCCTGTTTTTATTGGGTTGTTTGTATTTTTGTTATGGATATACACAAGTTCTTTATATATTTGATTCAAGTCCTTTGTCAGATATATATGTGTGTGTACATATACATATATATGGATAGTGAACACTTGCTTCTGATCTGTAGTTTACCTTTTAATTTTGTTTAATGGTTTTAATTTATGATCCATGGCGTATTAATTTTTCTGGGTTCTGTAAATTTGGAGGTCAGAGGGTTCAGATTAATTTCATCTTCATGTTTATCTAGGTCCTTGTTGAAAATAATTTTATTTTTTCATTGACTAGTCTTGGTGCATTTATAAATTGGCTATATATTTGGAGAAGTATTTGGGGACTCTATTTTGCTGTAGCTTGGTAGTACACCTTTCTCATAAGGTAGTGCAAATCATCCAAATTTGTTCCTCTGTTTCAATGTTGTTTTGGGTATTCTAGGTCCTTGGCTTTCCTTTACGCATTTTAAAACTTTAAAAAAAAATTATAACTAAATTTTGAGCAAGTTTAAATGCATCAAGCTGCAAATTAGTGCCATTTCCATGGACCTGTTCCCCAGCTAGGTTCCCTAATAATATTGTCTTAAATAATCCTAGTACATGTCTGCAGCGAGTGTGACGGTGCCTTTAAAGGGGCACACATTGACACTGGGGTAGAGAACCTTACTTTTTTAATGTATAAAGCACTGTTGTACATACAGTGTGTAAACAGATATACTGTGTATCTGTGATAGTAACATTTCATAGGGGGCATTAGGAAATAATGTCCAAGAAGGCTCCTTTAGAGGAAAAAAGGTTGGGACACAGCTATAATTCATTGTAACTAAGGAAACCAGGAATTGACGTTAGTATAATACTCTCTACTCAGGTACATGTTGTAGCTGAATTTCCCCTCTTTTTTACATGTACTGCTGTGTATGTGTAGTTATATGGCATTTTGTTACATGTGAAGATTCAAATAACCATGGTACAGCTATTTAGCACACAGAACTGCTATATCAGCATCAAAAAATCCTCATTATCCCTTAATACGCCACACTGCTTCCTCAGCTCTAACTAGTGGTAACCAGTGATTTGTTTTCCATCACTAATTTTGTCTCTTTTAAGAATCTCATGTAAGTGGAATCGTTGAATAACTAATAACTCTGACATTATCTTGTTTTCATTTTGCATAATGTCCTAGAGTCCATCCTAGTTGCTGCTGTTATATATCAATAGTTTATCCTGTTTTATTGCTGAGTAATATTCCATTTTCTGGATGAACCATTGTTAATCCTTTCAGCAGGTGAGGGACTTGAGGATTATTTTCTTATTTTGGCTGGTACTAATAAACCTGCAGTGAACATTTGTGTACTGGTTTTTGTGTGAACTTAAGTTTTCATTTCTCTAGTGTAAATCCTAAGGTGTATTATGTTTGCTGGGTCATATGGTAAGTCTAAGTCATGTGATAAATTCTTTCACATTTATTAAGATTTGTTTCATAGCCCAGCCTATCTATGGTTTCTCTTGATAACTATTCAGCTGTTATTGAGCAGAATATTTATAAATGTTAGGTCAAGTTTGTTGATAATGTTGTTCAAGTACTTTACAGTTTCAATATGTAAATTTAAGTGTCTTTTTCTAATCTCTGTATTCCCATTTGTGCATCATGGATTCATTTTTATTTTATCAGAATATATTGTCTTTTACTTCTTGTGGCAGTTTAAAAAATTATTTATTTATTTTTAGAGAGAGGGGAAGGGAGGGTGAAGGAGAGGGAGAGAAACATCAGTGTGTGAGACATAATCTATGTCAGTTGCCTCCTACACGCCCCCAACTGGGGACCTGACTTGCAACCCAGGCATGTGCCCTGACTGGGAACTGAACCGGGGGTCCCTTGACTTGCAGGCTGGCACTCAGTGCACTGAGCCACACCAGCCAGGGCCTTTTGGTAGATTTTATTTTACAAAGTTCACAACACTATCTTCCATTTCACTTGCGCTTCTGTAATGTGGTTTTACCACAAGGAACAGAGTCTTAATTCCCCTCCACTTGGGTATAGGCTGTGATTTGAAATCCTTAGTGATTTGAAATCATTACATTGTAGCTTGAATGGTGATGCATGGCTTTATGACAGGGTCCGACAAGGCCTTCCTCCATTCACTCGGTTATCTTGGAAGGCTTGTTCTCCAGCCATTCCTTCTCAGATTGCCCCTTCTCATATAACCTATGCGCTGTGCTGTGAGTAGCCAAACCAAATGAAGTGGCCATGCATAGGTGCTCTGGTTTACAGTCCACACTGAGCCAGTCCTTTGCCCACTCCCGCTCAGACGTCAGATACATAAGTGAAGAAAGAAGTCATCTTGGAATTAAATCCTCCAGCTCCAGCTTTTGCAGCTGTTGAAATCAACAGCTATCATTTGAGTCTATTCAGATGAGTGTACTCAGATGAGGCCTGAGACATTGTGAGGAAGAGAAGAGTCAATTCTGCTTTGCCTTCCTGAATTCCTGACCTGCAGGATCCCTATACAATGCTTATTTTACATCACTGAGTGTGATTAGTGGCTTGTCACACAGCAGTAGGGATAAATTCTTTTTCATTAGATATTTTCTAATCAGTATGGTCTGAAAAGTAAGCTTTACTTTTAATTGGCTCCAGAATTCTTGGATATAAAGTAAGTCTCTCTCAGAACTTGGAAGTTATTTCTCCATTGTCTTGCAGCATCCACGTCTTGTCAGTGAAACATGTAATCTGATTCTCATTCCTCTGCGTGGGTTATGTTTTTTCCCTTTGGCAGCTTTTAGGATCTTTGAGCTTCAGGCAATTCATCTAAGTGCATGTAGATGCACTTGGATAATCTATGGTCCATTTCTATCCAAAAACTCATGTCTTTTATTTGCTTCAATATGTCTATTATACAAATTTTAAAGTAGTATTTTCTGTATTCTTTAAACTCTCTTAGGAGTTTAAAGAACTCCTTGTTTACTTGGTTACTTCTTGATTAATTACAGTTAGTTTCTCCCTTTTACTGTGTTGTCCTTCATCAAATTAAGGAGATTCCTGGCTATTTTGTTGTTGCCTTTGTTTGCTTTTTGAGATGCCTTGTTATTCTCTCTGCAAATACTGAATCAGTCCGTAGCTACCTGTATCCAGAGGTTGTTGGGAACCACATGGTACTAGGAAAAGTTTAGGAGTTCCTACCTTCCTGTGTGTTTACTAGATACTCTGAAACTTCCTGATCGACTTTTGGGATAATTACCCATTACTTACTTCTTTTACCCATGGTTTAAAGGCAGCAGAAGTGACTCACTTGGCTCCTACTCAAGTATTTCAACCAATAATGTTTCAGTTTTCTCAAGGGAAGTCTTTTGCTCCCCATTTTTGCTGTTTCAGAGCATGGAGCAACACCCTCTGTGCAGGTGGTGTACAGGAGGGCATTCCAACCAACTGACCAGCATGGCCAAGGCAACACCCACTTTTGCTCTTGGGGGAAAACTCTGTGGCAAAATGACTGCCTCCTGGAATCTGCCTTTTGTCTTTTAGAGATTCTTCAGTTTGGGGCCGTGAAGACACATACCCTTCTGCTTTTCAGGAATTTAAGGAGCAAGTGGGACCCTGGAGCAGGTGCTCAGTCTCCCACTTTAGTCTAATTGTGGTAGTTGTGTTTAAAATGCACTGAGATCTCATAGGCTTTGTTTTTATCTGCACACATAGTTCCACTTTTACTTCGGCCAGTTCTGGCCTTCTTAGGCTACTCCTATTACTAAATAAATTATTCGTGTGTCTCTTAATTTTGGATCTCAGTATCAATAGAAATCACCTATCCTTGAATCTCAGTATCAGTAAAACTCTTCTAATGGGTTGTATTAATAAGGAAAAATTATAATTTTTAGTCTGTGACTTAATTTTGACAGGATTGCATGGAATATGTTATATAAAAGTACAGCAGTATAGTTTGCAGAAATTTTTAGATGTTGCCTATGTCTGTCACAGTTTTTTCTGTTGTATATAAAAATAATTTGGAATGATTTTCAGTGACTAAAGTAATCATAGTTTATGAGGTTATAAAACAGTCAGTTTTAAATATATTTGCACAGACTTTAATTTCAGTAAACCAGAGTGCATATTTTTCCCCTAAACAGGTGATTTACTTGAGACTTTACTATTATTAAAGAAAGATCTTTTTTTTTTTCAGAGCAGCATCTCAGACATGTTGAAAAAGATGTTTTGATCCCTAAAATAATGAGGGAAAAGGCCCGGGAGAGATGTTCTGAACAAGTTCAAGGTAAGATTCTAATATTCATATAAAGATCAAATACATTTTTTGTAATATGATCTGAATTTAATCCTTAGCCTTAGAGTAAGTAATCAATGAATTAATATGTATGAATTGCTTCTCACCCTTTCACTGAGATACCAGGGTTTCAGCTTTCAGAACTTCCAGGCGGTATTCAATTCATTTACAATTTAAAAATATTCTCTCAAATTATTAGTAAAAAGCACTCCCCCCGCCTCCCGAAATATAGTTACATATAGAGAAAAACTTAGTATGAGTGTTTTGGAGAAAGAAGTTACTATGGTGGTTTTCATAGAGAAAGAAGAAACATAAAATATAACATGTATATAACATAAATATAACTGTTTTTCATCTATCCACATATTTATATAGGTACAGTATATATTCTAAGATGATTTTCTTTGGTGTCATTGTGTATTACTGAATTGTTGATGGAATCCCAGTAGTACTTACAATGAGTCTGTTTTGTTATTGTTGTTGTTTAATATTTATAAGTGGAAGCTGTTTTAAATGCATGCACTGACACTCACATATGCATGTTATTTTTTGGAGAATGTTTTAAAATATGTTTCATAGAATACTGCTCTATTCTGTAAATCTAGAGATGTATTGTTGATTAGTACGTAAAGAGTGAAAAGGTAAGCAAAGCAGTGGAAAGTACAATATGAGGCTATAATGATGGGTGGTTAGAAAAACAGGTGGAAGTATTACTTTAAAAACAGGCTACCTCTGCCCTGACCAGTGTGGCTCTGCCCTGAGTGGTTGGTTGAGTGTAATCCCACAGAGTGAAAAGTCGCAGGTTTGCTTCCCTGTTGGGGCATGTTCCTGGGTTGTAGGTTTGGTCTTTCCGGGCAACTTGTAAGAGGTAACCCATTGGTGTTTCTCACATCGATGTTTCTCACCTTCTCTTTCTCCCTTCCCCTCTCTCTAAAAATAAGTAAAATCTGAAAAAAAAAGCTACCTCTTAGAATGGACATCTAAAAAAAGTAGTCGTAAAATGTCACCGATGTAGGCTATTTTCCTGGCTCCCTTTCCCGACTTTCCCCTGTAGTCTTCATTGAGGGACCACAGTAACTTTTAGCACAGGTGATGGCTGCACCTTCCCTGCAAGTTTCTCTGTCGGGGAGCCAGGCTGTGTCCACTGCAGTTTTGTGACTTTGGATGCTAGGAACATTTCCATCCCTTGGATGGTATCTCCTTAGAGAATGGCCTTGCTATTAATGGATGGAGGTAGTAAAAAAGGAGAAATAGTTCCTCAGAAGTGACATAATATGGTCATTTCTGTTTCTTAAATGACTTACTAGGACATACCAGTTTTAAATCCATTTATAAATTTATAAACTAGATTGAAATTAAATTCATCCATAAATGTATTAATACATTATTAATAATTTTATTAGTATCATTCTATGGTATTACTCTTGCTTTCATTATGAATTAGTTGTTTATTCAGAGTACTTCCTTCCACCCTCACCCCCTTAGGTGCCAAGAAAACTGAACCCATTGGCACCTGCAGGCAGGGTTCAGTGCACATCTGGCACTGGCAGGTGTCGTGCTGATAGTCTCAAGAGATAATTGCCTTATAGAACTTTAAAGAATATATATATCCTGATTCAGGTGGGAGAGAATAACACTTAAAAATCAATAATAAGGTTATAGGGTTAGGGTTACCTTTTCACTACTGGAAAATTGACTTGAATAAGTAAATAGTCTAAAGTTATAAATATGAGTTGTATTTATGCAGTTTTATAACACATTGCTGTGATACCTAGAATGAAAGGAAGCTTTTTACTCCCATGATATGGATGAAAATGCAGAACGATTGTACAGCTTTGGGTTTCAGAACTGTCTATTTTTTACTCTTAGGTGATGAAACTGTTTTTGATTTTTGAAATGAAAGAAATATAGGATAAATTTAAAATTTCATTTGTGTTCCACAACTATTATATTGTAATGGTACAGGAAAAAATGTTTAATTTTTTGCTTCCGTATCAGAAGTTAAGTTGCCTAGGCTGTTGACAGGGTTATGTTTCTGTTTAATGAATATACTTAAAATCTTCTGGAGACCGAAAGCATCTTAAAATTTGGGTTATTTCAATTTATTTGTAAGTTTTAGAACATATTAAAACAATTGATTTTTGAACACTTGAATTTTTATAGATAATCATATATTGATTTTTTTAAGGCCATATGGTCCAAAACAGTGTTTTAGAATCTAAAATTGATTATTTTATAAAGTAGTAATCTTTGGTGTTCTCCCTGTTTAACCATGTGAATTAGGAAAGAACACACACTGGTGTTGCCCAAGTGGCAGAACAACAGCTACATTTAAACTAAACAATAAAATGTAAATTAGAATCAGGACAACTTCTACTGTAGTTTATTTACTATTTATCACTTTGCTTTATTAAATAATTATAGGGTTTTACATAAAAGCATTACACTTTGTATAGTTCTTGGGTAAAGATATAGGAATTTTAATAAGTGATCTGACTTTCTGCTAAATACCTGAAACATGATTATGTAGGAAAGCGTTTGATTTTTTTTTTCATGTCATTTCAACCCAGTTGATCATAAGAATTAGGTCAGACTGCCAGCAACTTAGGTTTGTGAAGGGAATGGAACAGCTTTTCCAGGGACAAAGAGAAATGAAATCACTTTCAGTGAAAGCAAGATGCCTCATTATAGTCACCAACAGCAGTTATTGACAGCTACACTTCCTATTAACAAGGAGCATTTAACTAAGAGTTTGGCTGTTGGATCTTTGGACTTGATCTAATTTGCTAGCATTAATTAGTTTCTTTTGAGCACAGACACTTGGTGCTCACAGCTATAGATTTGGAGGGCTAATTAGGATAGAAAATTGAACAGAATGGGGTAAGGCATTAACCTTCAACCATTACCAGCTGGGACACTGATAAAGACCACAGAGTCCAAATGCTCCCTATTGATGTGAAGAGTACCCTAATGAATATCAATTTCAGCCAGGTTGCTATATTCTTACTAGTTCTCTCTTCATTATAAATTTTAACCAGTTTCCATGATACCTTCATTATCTCTATATACACTATTGGTTTTTATTATGCACTGATTTAGTCTGAGTTGCACATTTCACCTTATGTTTTAAATATAATTAAAATCTATCTTAAGTAGCAGATAATATTTGGACTGTTTCATCATTATATATCCCAATAGTAAAATTTAACTTTTATCTACAATGACACGGTTCTAATTCTATAATGAATTTTTATAGTCACAGTAACGCTGCTGCCATTTCAATACAATGAAAATTATAACCAGAATCAAGAACATCTTAGCTTTTGTATGACAGTTAAGCAGTTTTTATTAAACTGGTGTCCACTTGAAAATCTTTGCCTTTATAAAATAGGTACACTTTTTTAAAAATTTTTTCTAAAGAGAAAAATAGTGATGAACACTTTTACTTTTGGAACTTAACTTTGACTTGATGAATAAAGATGGCTTAACCTACAGATTACGTACAGAATTGAGAAGCCTGATCTTCCTATTGTATAAACCCTGACACGATTATAAACTCTGTTAATAAAGCACACATTGAAAGAAAAGCTATTGAACAATTGATTTAAGTAGAAGATTCAACTTTATAATATTCTTCTTTTGCCAGAGATTTTACTGGCGGTGAGAGGCACTAAAATAAATGGCCAAAGTGTACTGGTAGACATTAACACAATGAACACCGAGTACATTGGGAATGGAGTTGAAGGAAAATTCTAGAATGCCCAGTCTCCCTTCCATTTTATCCTCCTCCTAAAAGCCAAGCTAGAAACCCCATTCCACCAAGCATGATAGTGGAATCATTGCTTTCATTCCTTGGATCTGGGAGTTACCAACTCCCAATACTAGACAGATGCTATCTAGTATTATAGTATGCATCCTAATATTTTAAATTTATGTTCTGGAAATAGAGCCTCCATAAGAGGAAGAGTCACTGAGTTGCTGTGTTTTGTAAAAATTATATTTTATTTGCTTTTTTGAATTGCATAGTTGGCATTTCATATCAAGCCTTTTGCTGAATAATGAAATTTGCTTTAAAAATAATAAGAGCCTTTTTTTTTCTTTTGCCATGATCAAGACCAAAAAAATATTTCGTCTTAGGGGATGACTTGGAACTTCGTATAGCCTAGCTATTTTTTCTTACTTACTGACTCCTGTTTCTCCTATATCATTTTCTTCTGTTGCAGTGCTTTTGATCTTAGAAATGATATGTCAATAGACAAAAAAGATATGTGAATAGACAAAAAACAAAATCAAATTAAGAATGCTTAGGGTAATCTTTCAGAGGTTTGCAGGTAGAAAACTATCAAAAACTCATTAAAACAAATTGGACACTGTAAATGATCAAAGTAATCAGTCTTTTGAACCTGCCAAAAATTTCATTTGTAGTTTGAATTGTGCTGTTACCACATATATTTTTGCTGTGTGACCAGTTCACCAGTGTTAACCAACACTGAAGTGGAGATGTGACATACTTTTGGACTGTTTTGGATGTATCAGGAGGATAATATAGAAAATCACCAAATACGATGCTATCTGTTAAACATATTATGTATGTACTCTAAGAAATATGAAGAGATGTAAGGTATAGTTCATCCCCTTTGGAGCTACACGGGACTGTGTCACCAGCCCTGGGTTTGGTGATCTGCTAGGAGGATTCATAAGACTGAGCACATAGTCACATTTGTGGCTAAGATTTATTCCAGTGAAAGGATACAAGCAAAACCAACAGAGGGAAAAGGCACATGGGGTTGAAGTCCAGAGGAAACCAGGCGCAGGCTTCCAAGGGTCCTCTCCCAGTAGAGTCACTCAGGATGTGCTTAATTCTTCCAGCAATGAGTGTTAACAACATGTGTGAAATGTCCACCAAGGAAACTCGTTCGAGACTCAGTCCTCAGAGTTTTTACTGGGACCTGGTCACACAGGCAGCCTCTTCCTAGCATGGACTGAAATTT